ACAAGGTTTACCAAAACATCCCCAGCTAATTGCTGGGGGAGGCATTAATTGCATCCGCCAGTTAAAGCCACCAGGATAGCTATTTCCACACTGTTCCTGTGAGTTGCCTCCATAATATAGTGAGTCAGCAGTCTCAGGCGGGTATTGCAAGTGGCATTTGCCCTGGCACTGACGTTCCTGCAAAATCATGGCCCCTGGGCTCTTCTGCATCAGGCCCTGGTTATGAGCTCCCACCTCTGGAAAGCTGGACTCTCTTCTCAGATGCACTGAAGCTCCCAGAACGGTCTCTCAGCACCCAACTGCTTAGTACACAATTGGGTGCTGAATTTTTAGTTTTGTTTAGGGTTATGCTCATTTATAGGGCTTGTCTAGGTGTGATATATATATCCCTCATCAGTTAACGTGTGGACGGACGCTTACTGCAGAATACGAATGCTTTGAAGCGTGTCTACTATCGCTTGCTGAAGAGTGAGCAGAGATGCCTCTCTGGATTCCGGTTGCTTGACTACGAGAAGCCAAAGAGCTGCTCTCCCACACAGCAGAGCCGTGAGCTAACACCCAGGACTCCCAACAGCCAGCCACGGGGTCAGATGCACAGTGAGCTCACGGGGTTTCAGGAATGCAAGACTTCATTTTTCATAACCCACAACATTGTACAAGGACGAGACTTGCCGCATCTGCGCGGACGAGGTGTGGCGTTACAAACACCTGCCAGCTCACCGTTGCAGCACTCAGTTCTTGCCATAGCCCAAGCTGCCCTGTGGTCTTGCCTCCTGGCTGCTCCAACCTGCAGCTTTCTCGTCGGGGAGAGACCTTCCTCCTTGCCTCTTACATTGACATTGCTCCAGACACCCCAAAAGCAGGAGCTGCTCTCCCTGCACTGCAAGGCAGCAGTGCCACCTCGGGGCGCTTCCCAGAATTGGGAAGCCTGCTAAAATACGGGTCAGCATTCACATTTTCGCACTCCTACAGCGCTATCGGGTTTACGCAACCAGGGTAGCTTTCCAAAACTTCAACTGCCTGCTGTGCTTTCTCCAGCTTATTTGTCATGCTCCTTGAGAAACTCTGTTCAAGTCAAAACGCTTCTCCCAGCACCCCGACAGCCACTTGGTATCAGCCAAAGGTGAGGACTTGTGCCATCTTGGTTTCCCCAAGAACATGAGTCTGCCTTCTGGTGATGTGCACAGCTGCGTACAGCCGTGCTTGTTCCTTCATCTGGGTTAGCTCTGAGAACAGGGCCACTGCAGCTGTTTCGGTTATTTAATACTTTGCACTTAAACCACTCTTGATATGTTCCCTTGATTGCTGCTCAGATAGGCAGCAGCTGTCGTCATGAATAAAATCTGTTGTCACTAGCAGCAAGGGCAAACATTTTGTTTGAAGTTTAGAAGGTGAGCGGATGAGCACTGGCTTAAACTCTGTCTAGGGCTGCCATTAAGGCCAAGATTTTCCTTTTGTACACGTTCCAGGTATTTTACATGTTGCTAGTACTGGTACTTCATAGCAAACCAGCACCACATCTGAATAACACAGCCCAAAATAACCACAGTCACGAATCTTTGTTAAAGCCCCCTTCTGTATTACACTGATACCGACTGCTATACAAATAGCAAACTGTGTGGTTTATCATTTGGATGCCATCGATAAGCATTCAGAAGGCTGAACCAAGCAGAATTCATTTCTTGCCCAGAGCCAGATATTCCCCCTGCTCCTTAACAGCCCACCAGCAGAGGCACGATGGGCAGTGCTACACAATTCTCACCAATATTCTGTCTGCAACTCCAGAGGAACGCAGGCATCAAGTCTACTTCTTAAAGCTGCTTTTTTTCTTTTGAAAGTAGTCGCATCAAGAGAACTGGGAAAAGCTTAGAGCCTTCTCCTATGTTTAAGATCTGTTGGGCCTCCTCTTCAACAGCAGACGGCAGACATTTCGTTCTTGCACGCTTAAGATGAGCAAGAGCTGCACAAAACCCGTGCTGACAGAACACCTACTGTGCAGCCTTCATTCACCTCATGCAGGCTGTATCAAGCCTCAGGAATACAGTCTTGGCAAGACACCATGGTGCTTACAGAAGGAAAATTTCCCCAAACTTAAATAAGAATATTGCCTGTGACCAGTTCTAGCAAAGGGCAGCAGCCACTGGTGCTTCCAGTAGCAGTACCTGGCACAAACTGCTCAGTTTCTCGTTTCTTGTCTTGCACTTCCCAGCTGGCTCCAGAGTGAAAATGACAACTTCTGGTCAGCTGCATTTGCTGGGCAGCTGTGTGGACACATATATTCAAACAGGAGAACTTGCTGTATTTCTTTTTATTGTAATAGAAAAAAATCCACAAATAAATCAAAACATCACTTTCTGCCTAAAGACATTATTAACATTTTTTAAATGGCACGGGAGAACCCCAGCAATACAAGACAGAATAGTAAGTGTGGGCAAAAGGGTTCTGTTCCCTTTCAGTTCAGTTTCCCTGCCCCTTTGTCAAACAGCTGGCTCAAGTTTGTCACCTATATACACTTAGGTACACTTCTCAGTCTAGTTTATATTCCTATGAGTAGGTTATGGCTAGGTGGAATGTTGGGGGCACAGTCCTGCAATTTACACGTAACCATCTTTGGAGAAAATGGGTTTCCTAAGAGGCCTACAGGGTACAGGGGTCTCGTTACCCAGTAAGACCAAGCAAACAGGATTCCCTCCTACAGCTCTTTTGCCATGAAACACAGAGTAGGTCCCGAGCCCAGGAGACCCTCTAGGAGCTCCTTGGCTATTGCAAGCAGTACCTGGCAGAGTGAAGTTTTACCCAGTGACAAAGTAGCAGCATTATCTCTGCAAAGGGGCTGCTCAGGAGGGGAAAAAGGCAGACTGCAAAATGCATGGGGTAAACATCTTCCTTTTATTTCCTGCTTCCTGAAAGCATGTAAAAAAGTCCTGAAGTAGACAGCCAAGCAGAAACCAGGCTCAGGACCTCTAAAGTGGTGGACATTCAAGGGGGGATATCCTCATTGTGCAAGAGTGTGGGGCAGAAGCTGTGGCACCAGTGTTTCCACCATGGGCAGCTTCGCCTGAAGCAACAGTTTGCTGAAAGACAAGCAACCACAGCCAGGCTGCTTGCAGGCACCAAACTACCATACCTAGACGTCGGGCTGCACTCTGTCAGCCTGAGTATACCTGCTCAGCTGAGGAAGCTCCAAGACCTCTAACATGCTACAACATTTTGTGGCATGGTCATGTGCGCAACGAGAGACTAGTTACTCTTCACGGAATAGGTGTGGGAAAAGACTGGAGAGGATATACATACTAAACGAGAAAACTAAGCTACAGCTTAGCAAAACCCAAACATTTATCAATCCTTCCTCCAGGAGCACCAAAAGCCATTTTTAAGTGATTTATTATAGAATGCTTTCTGCAAACAGGACGTTTTTATGGGGAAAGATTGAAAGCTTTTGTATAAACTGATCTGTACTAACTGCTACAGTTGTCTCCAAGTCCAGTCCATCAAATGAAATGCTTAAGGAGAAGCTAGTGGCACAAGCAGAGACTGACGAGGCAAAAAAAACCCAACCTGGGCTACAAGGGCCACTGCTGTGCACTGAGAGCAGGTAAACACAAAACCACACAACGGACTGACAGTACCCTGTTTCCACTTGTGCAGGGACTCCACAAGGTGCAGGGCAACAGACTGTTTTACAGAGTGACTGAACTGCAGTTTTCCTTCATTCCACCCCCTCAAACACATGAACCATTATAGTCCGCACCAAGTAACAGCACGAGAAACTTCTCAAACTGTGTAATCCTGGGAGAAAGAGCCCAGCAGAGGAAGGACATCTCCTTTAGGTGTGCAGGAAGTCTCCAGCACAGGAAGTTTGAGATGCAGGACTGAACTTGCAGCAATACTTTTCACGACAAAGCACTGGACAAAGGGCTGTACATTTGCATAGATGCTTTTTCAGCAGCATCTGGGACGTGCAATCCCCATTTATGGAGCATCAGCAATGTTTTGCTGTTTGTCTGATGCGTTTCTTGTGTTCCCTCCTAAATGAAACCGCTATAAAATTGTTCAGGAAAATACTGTATATGCATGCATGAAAAGAAATCAGCATGTCAATTCTTTCATTCCCCTGATCTTTTTCCACTGCAAAGAATCTTGAACTAGAAGATGCAGTATTGATACAATCTAATGTCAATCTAAGGACAGGACTGCTTCTGCATGTATCCCAATCAACTCAATTGCTCCATAGAACAGCTTAATTTTACTCTTCCTCATTTTCTTTACATTTGGGGAGACCTACCACCTATTTGTCTTACATTTAAGCAGAGCCCTCTCTGATGTGCTTGACAGCTTTGGAAAGGATAGCAATATCAAAGAAAGTTGGAACTCCTACTGTGTCTCCAACTAGATACTGAAGGCAGAATTGGTCCACCTTATATTGTCATGCAGTTGCCATGCTATTCCTGTCTTACTGTACTGTAACTCTGGCTTGGTAATGAAAAAAACAAAACCACCAGCTCTTATGCAAAGGTAAACAGTTAACAAGGTTCTGTCTATCTGCCAATAAGCTTACATGCGAGAAAAGGAAGCATTAACTTCATTTTACTGTCACCTGAAATTTGTTTCCACCACTTCTGCTCATGACATTCTGCTCTTTCAGCTGGTTCTTCCCATAACTCTTGGATCTAGCATCACCAAGCTCTTGGTAACCCTCAGTTCCAGTCTCCCTCCCACACACAGCTAGTCCCATTGAAAGTTTCAACTATGGAGTGTGACACGGACACACAATTCAGCCTGATCACCTTTCCCACGCAGCTGTGCCACGGCAAATATTCTGATCAGATGAGTTCAGCTTCTCCCCTGAGCAAATAACATCATGTCAATGAATTATGCAGAAGACTAATCCCAGGACACCTTTGCTTCCTAAACTACCAATACTTCCTTTGTCTTTTTGCTGCAGACTTCAGCAAAACCCCCCATAATATAGGCAGTGACAGGAGAAAGAGATGCAAGCCTGTAAGGGATGGCTAGGACATCCCCTTATTTACTGTAAATTCTATAATGGGCCCTTCAATGCTCTTGGAATGAATTCCCTCTTACCAGCATGGGAGTTACTCAGAAAGTGTCAGCCTACTCAGACAAGACAGCCTTTATAAATTAGTACAATACTATTAGAAATTATGGCAATCTTTTTGGTAGCATTGTCTTACATGCACCCTGATAAATCCTCTCCCTAAGAAATTTCAAAACTTGTCTTATAACTTCTGTAGAGTTAATTCTGATGGGAAATTATAAAATAGAAATCTGGTAGATTCATGTTTAAAAAGGAAGAGGCCTGGTGAGGCTGGGCACACTGGGTCACTCCTGTTAGCTCTGTCCATTATGTCTGCTGAAGGTATTTCCTCCGGGTGGCTGGATCTGGATGGAGTCCAGGAGGGGCCTTAAAGCTTGTCCAAAAGGTCTGAGAAGGTAAAGAAATAAACATCTCAATTTACTTGATGAACAACTTTTCCCATTTACTGCTGAAGTGCACTCACTTCCTAGAGTGCAGTCAAACCAACATTGTAGAAGCAAATTTGAAGAACAGACTTCTGCTACAAAGTATAGCAATCTAATTTAACCTATTAAAGAGAGTTTACTGTTCAATAACTAAGAATTTTAAACGTGATTTCATATAAGCTAGTTTCGAGTCCTAACATGTCCAGACTGCTGATGTGGTAATACTGTGTCTGAAACTGGCTTTTAGTAATTCAATCTACTTAAGTGCGTGAACGAAATCCCTGTTATGCAACGGCAGTGCTCCATTAAGATCAATATTAAAGACTGCTAGAACAACAGTCTCTATCTCCCTTATAAGGCAATGGTTCAACACTCGGAATAATTTCTGTTGCAATCTGTATAGCACCTGGTTTATCTTTCAATATGACTCACTTTGTTATAGACTTTATCTGATTTTGAGATATCTGAAGCTATAAGAGCCCAGGGAAGAAGACAAGCGTCTCCCAAATAATGTGGTATACCATTGTTACAAGAAATAGGACCTAAATGATGGAGCTCAAGTCATCCCACTGGGATCCTCACTAGCTGAGTTAAAAAAAAAAGTTGAGCTGAACTACCAGGCAGGAATTTTTTATATCCTCTTTTTACATCTAGTCCTAGCTTTAAAACTGCAGCATTAATTTTAAAATTACATCTCCCCTGCCTCTTCACAAGCAAAGCTGACACCTCCACTGCAATCACAGTGCTTAGAGTAAGAGAAGTGACCTTTAACAGATACTGGTTTCCTAACACAAAAACACTTGCACCATTTTCTGAAACTTTCTATGCTTGTCTGGTGACACAAAAGAGACCATCACAAAATAACTTAAAGGCAGAAGAATAACCTTCGCCTGTCGTCTTAGTGACAGTCAGCACTTGTTGCACAGTGTTGTAAGTGTTGAAGTAAAGCAAACAGCATCCGCTCCTTAATCTTATGCTGATTCTCAGAGACAGCAGAAACCGGTACCGCTGGCTCTAGCAAATGTTTAAGTGTCAACATGAAGCAGGACACTAGAGAGGAGCAGCACGCGTACTCACGTGGCAAGAACTTCAGCTGGGAGGTCAGTGATGTAGGAAGGGATTTTTCTTCCTGTCAGGAACTGTGCCACTTCATTACTGAAGGTGTTGCAGTTATGTTCAAAGAGGTTATAAGACTCTCCTCTGTGCCATGGGAAAGGAATTGAAACTTAAAAAGACAGACTCAGCAATAAATTTAACAAGCAGAAAAACTTAGACCCCTAATGAGGAACATCTGCTTACATGAGCACTTTTTTCCCCACAAAGAATTCTAAGGCAAATAGGTAAAATGCAGACATCAATTCACCTTCAAATTCAATTGAATCAGGGTGGAAAATGACATCTCTGCATCACTGACTTTATACAATGCTTTTTTGGAGGATAAGTGAGGTCAGGTTTGGCCAATTAAAACCACAGAAGGAATAACAAGAAATCACAGAAATTACTGACATTGAAATATAGCCAGAACACTAAATGCTACTGTTTCCTATTCTTGTGAGAAGGAGACTAGACTTTTTAACAGTCAAGGCCTTGCTTTTATTCATCTGAAAGCTGGCAGCTTTACTGCAACACTTCACCTATGACTCATGGGGCAAAGCACTGTTTACTGAAATATTTCATACAGTGCCTTCATTTTCCCTGTGATTCTTTCAAAGGCATTTCAGGCATTATTCCATTTTACGAAAAACAGTGTGAAAGACTTCCTGGCAGAATGCTTTCCCAGCCTAGCTCAAGGCTTGCACACCACAGGGTTGCCTAGCTGGCAGCTCCTTGCATATCGGTGCATCAGTTCCAGTTTCATATCCGAAGAGGACCAAATAATACACTCGGCAGACAAAGCTTTGTGAGCGGGATTGGTTTCACAATACCTTCCCCTCCATTCTGCACCCCTTTCGCTAAAGGTTTTTTGTTATACAGATTTTATAGTACAAGCTGCTACTTACCGGAACATGGATTCCCCCAAAGAGGAAAGATATTCCAGAAAAATTTCTTCTGTGACTTCAGTGTTCCCCAGGTCAACAACAGAGTCTGGGGGGCCAAGAAGTGTCCCTCCCTGTAAAGATTAACAGCCAGAAGACAATGTTAAATGGACAGACTGAATTATTTTGGAGGACTGTATTGAACAGAGCTATCATGGCTTGTCCAGGCACAAAAGGAGGAACATTTGGTACTTTTGTCAAGCAAAAAGCCCTACTGGCCTCCCCTGTTCTGCACTCAGAGAATGAGAAATAACGTGCCATTTCCATTTCAGCTTGTATACTTGGCTCTTTGTGCTGAAAGCTCTACGCTATGGCAAAATTCTGCTTTAGAACGGTCCGTCAGTTTTGCCTCTCCAAGAACAGAAAGGTCTGACAAAGCATCATTAATTTTTTTATTAATCTTAAAAAAGATGCCTTGATTTGACAAGTTTGCACGTAAAACCTACTGATACAGAATGAGACAAGGTGTCACTGGCAATGCAGCTGTAGAAAGTGTCTTGGATAGACAGACTCTACAGGCAGAAGGAACCCCCAACCTGTATTTCGTTGGGCTTAAACCCACTGTTTGTGCTCCCTTTTCCTCAGATGCCCTGGGCAATCACGGCAAGCAGCCACATCTGGCTGAATTCAGAAGCCTCTTGCTGCTTTTCTAAAAGACAGTGACACAAGCAACTCCAATCCGGTAACCCTATCGCAAAACTATCTTATCACAAAAATAAGTTTAACTTACAGGTGCACAGCTGGAGATTCCCCCACTGCCATAGAAGAACTCATCCTTATGGACTATTATGGAGGTATGCCTGCCACAGAGAACAGAAAACAGGTGAAACAAAGGAAATATTTAACCTAGCACATAAATCACTGGTAAATTTATGTGCTCAAGGAGATCATGAAGTGCATAACCGAAAGAAAAGGTTAATGTGTTTCTGTGAGTAGGAACAGGATCTGCTGGGACATGAATGCATATGGAAGCAACGATTATCAAGCCTACTGTAACTCTGTAAGCTGTTGGGAAAGGACAGGCTTAGCGAGCTAAAGGGTTGAGGCTGAAGTCACAGAAATAGAGAGGCAGAGTTAGCCCTGCTACCACATTGACAGAAGTGCATGTCTGATAGACACCAACTGAGAAGGTCAGACAATCACTACAGATGGATCAATAGAGAGGAACATGGATGGAGAAGGGCTTGGGGTTTTTTTGCCTTTTTTTTTTTTTTTAAAAAAAAAGTCTTGATATTAATTATAGCAAACTGGGGGATGTTTTGTAATCCAATGCAGTCACTGCTCTTACATGCCAGAAGGCCTGATTCTGTAATACCTTCTTCCCACCTACTCTTTTACTCTCATGTTTAGTCACGCCTGCAATTAGCAGACAAAGTGCTTGGGCTAAGGACAACATCCTACCCTTGAAAAAGTGTATAACTGCAATAAACCACAATGAACTACTACCAATACGTTTTTTCATGGGGTCCACTGAGCTTTGAATGGAGAAACTCATACATCATCTTACTGTCAATCTGTATTCAGGAACAAAATGTGCCTTGGTCTCTCTTCAGCACCAAAATGTTCCTAAGATCTGAAGCATACACAATCTCATACTGAAAATACTTCTTACACCACACAGTGTTTAACGCACATTATGCAATTTAAATCTAGTCACTTACCAGATGCCATCCAGCTGCTTCCCTGTATGCAGAGAAAAGAAGAGTTATTAGCAATGTATTTTGCAGATTTCAGCCTACTTTGTGTCAATCACTTAGGAACCATGATTATTATTTCACCATGACTGTAATACCAAAGATTTCATCCCAGAGTTGCTTCTAAAGAAACAGAATGTTTGTCTTTCAAATGAACTACTCCGTCCACACTACTGCTGTACTTTTTTCCTCCTGCACGCAGAGGTGGCAATGCCATCCTATCCTGCCAGTGCTTACCTTCCTTGGGCTTTTGTCTACAGAACAAGGAATGTAACCTTTTTCTAAAATTAGAGTCCTCAGTCAGGACCAGAAGAGTTGAATTTTGCACTGATTTCCTAACTGCAGACAGTTCACCAGCACAGAGTATTCATTTTCTTTTCCAGTAACTGATCAGAGTTCCAACTTGAACATATGATCAGTGGTGACAGTTTCTGTAATCTATTCCATGGTTTCCTCCTTTCCCTCCCTCCCCCTGCCCTTAAAAATTATCAGTTTAAGTGGGAGCTGGGTGGGGGGAGAAGCGCAGGGTTGAAATTTATGCAAGTTATAAAGACGTGTGTTTTGTAGAACACAGCAGCAAACCCTTGCTTCAGGCACCACTAAACTGATAATATCATTGTTTCAAAGTCCCTTCTAAAATGCTTTTCTAGTTCCCTAGAAGTGGGAAACCTAAACCTCTCTCTGTTCATGGCAGGATTTCAAGATCAGACCTCTCTTCAAAGGGTCACCAGCTGTTACTGGTCTAGGTTCAATTATTTTATCCACCATAACCTAAAGGCTTGGTCCCTGGTATCATACCCCTTTGTAAACTTGGGGTTTGAGGGGGTAAACTATGACAGACGCACTATAACTTTATTTTGCCAAACAAGGTGCACAACACCCAGAAAAGTAGATTTAGAACAACAACAACAAAACTGTGTGCATACCAACATTTGGTATTCTCCTGAACCCAAGCAGCAGACTGAGTGCTTCTCTACCATAGCTTCTGCTTGCATGCAGCAGGCTCCTGATCCTTTTAGTCAGCTTCCACGTTTAAGTGCTCTTCCCAGCAGTCCACTTCCCACACCACTATCCTTTATAACCAAGCAGCACCTCTTCCAAGATGTTTTGTTGTTATCATTCAACTTTTAGATACCAGAATGCGATGTGATTATCTGCTAAGGTCATCTGCAGGTTTCCCAGAGCTAGATAAAAACCACTGTAGACGTGATAAAAAAAGCCACCTGAATAAAAAAAGCCACCTGAACAAAAAAAGCCACCTGAACATGGAAGGCACTGTTCTAGTAAAAAATTGTTCAGAAAGCACTGATGGGTTAACTCCCGGCCAGCAAGCTTTGCTCTGGTTTGGACACCATCTGTTTGCATCACACCAGCCTCACGCCTCCCAAAGCTAGCCACTGACCTTCTTGCTTCCTGAATTCTGGACCATTACGTCTAGATATTATTCTGCTCCTTTAAACACAGCCTCAAAACTGTGGTCTTTTTTTTTTTTTTTGATGTTTTACTCAAATGCATGTGACATTCAGGCTTTTCTTTGCTACTGGAGAGAGTCCAGCGGAGGGCTACGAGGATGATGAGGGGACTGGAACATCTCCCCTACGAGGAGAGGTTGAGGAAACTGGGCTTGTTCAGCCTGAAGAAGAGAAGGCTGCGAGGGGACCTTATAAATGCCTACAAATATCTGAAGGGTGGGTGTCAGGAGAATGGGGCCAAGCTCTTTTCAGTGGTGTCCAGTGACAGGACAAGGGGCAATGGGCACAAACTGAGGCACAGGAAGTTCCGTCTGAACATGAGGAAGAACTTCTTCACTCTGAGGGTGACAGAGCACTGGAACAGGCTGCCCAGGGAGGTTGTGGAGTCTCCTTCTCTGGAGATATTCAAGACCTGCCTGGACAAGGTCCCGTGCAGCTTGCTGTAGGTGACCCTGCTTCGGCAGGAGGGTTGGACTAGATAACCCACAGAGGTCCCTTCCAACCCCTACTATTCTGTGATTCTGTGCTATTTTGAGGGCCACTGCCTTAACTGACCTTAACTCAGGATTTGGCTGCGTACCTTACCACCCTGTCAGCCTTGCCTCTCCCTAGCAACTATACCACCCTGCTTGTATTCCCACAGCTTATGATGCTGAAAGCGCTTTGTGACTGCTTTTCAAAGGCTGGAATCGGATACTCAGACTAACAATAAATTATTCCACTCATTTAAAAAAATGGTTGGTCAAAAGGAAGCTCAGCTCCTTTGCATTCCCTGCTCGTCCCCCACAATTCCCAAAGAGGAGGCAGAACGCCACACACTGGGCCCCAGTTAGTGTATCAGGGGCCTGAACCATACGGTACTTTGACAGAGCAGTATTTTGTCCCTCAGCCTCCAGGATGCCATCTTCTCTGCTGAAACTTTAGGGGTCACTTCTCCTGTTGGTGTCCAGCTTCTTCTAAGACACCTGGTGCGGCAGCAGTGATGGGGTACATTGTCCTTCCACAGGACAAGTGGAACTGGGACATTCTCCGGTTGTCCTTACTTAGACCAGTGCCATGGCATCAACGGCCTACAGGGAGGCAGAGGCACTGCCTTTCACTTTCTACAGGCAGAGGGTCTTGGGGTATTTATCCGCTCCTACTCCTCTGTCACTGCTGGTTTGGTCTGCAACTGCCAGGAGTGAATACGCTACTTCAAAGAAGCAGTAGATCTTCATGAGTTCTTTCTCTTGGTCAAAACCAATCTTCTGTCATCATCAGGACTGGGTGAAACAGAGGAAAACAACTGATGACGATAATCCTTCAAGAGTTCTTTGAAAAGGATGTTTATGTGTGCAAATCAGGACTAAACAATCCCTACCTTATTTTTTCTGCTCAAGTCTGAAACAAAATAGACATAGAGACAGATACCCACTTCAGATCAGGGTTGTGTAAGAGTGGAGGCAGAGAAAAGGTTGTTGTGACAATAGAGACATCAGTCGAAGCGAGCACACGCAGTTGTAGGTGGACTGATCTGTCACTACCATGGATAACAGCCAGACAGCGAGCATATTCACTGTCAACCCGTCGCACAGAAACATAGACATGGAGTAGGATGAAGGCCAAAAGACAGTAGCAACGAGAGAAATGGAGCAATGTGTTGCAACATCTCAGGAGCATTTGCTGCCCTTTTAGTGTGTCCCACGCTGTTGTGCTCCTTAATCCTCCAGCCCTCGTTCCACACCTTCCCCATCAGAGCTTTCACCTTGTGCTCTAGAGCTGCCAGAAACCACTGACACTGCAGGCTCATCAGCAATACGTAGGGTAGGGTATAGTGCACTGCCCTAACTTTAGCAGCTGGCCTACGAAAGGCTCTACCGCTTGGCTTTGCACAGTTAGTGTTCTGCGTATCTGTTAATAAATTACTACATATTTGTTCACAATAAATCACTGTTTTCCACTAGAAACTTGAACTTTATCCTTCAGGGCAGAGAAATGAACCATTGCAAGGCAGCACATACTAGAATTATATCTGCCCTTTTGCACACTAAACGGAAAAAGAACATCTGAATATTTACTGTCACACACATTTCCAGCAACACTGAAGAAAGGCTTTCCACAAAGTTGCCGCTTTGCACCTAGATTCTGCGTGCAGGTAAAAGAGCTAAAGCAGATGCTGACAATGTCACAGGTGCCACGGGGAGCCTGCTCATGCAATTACAACACCTGCTTGAAAAATCCTTGCAGCAAAGGCTACCACACATTGGGCTGTTCTAGCAAGACTGCGGCCAGAAGCACAAGGGAGGTGGCTCTTTCCCCCCATTCCACACTTGTGAGACCACATCTGGAGTGCCGTGTCCACTTTTGGATCTCCCCAGTACAAAAGACACCGACATACTAGGCTGGAGCACCTGCTGTATTGAAGAGCGGCTGAGAGAACTGGTCTGTTGAGCCTCATAAAGAGAAGGCTGAGAGTCCTTGTTGCTGTCTGCAACTACCTAATGGGTATGGAGGAAAGGGAGCCTTGTTCTGCTCAGAGATGCACAGTGAAAGGCAACAGGTCCTAGCTGGAAAATGGGAAATTCCCAGCTTAGTAAGAGGAGAAAAAAAATCACCATGAACGTAGCCAAACAGTGGGGCAGGGGTCCAGAAAGCATGTGAATTTCTGTCCTTGGAGATACTCAGAATTCAGCTGCCCAAGGCCCTAAAGAATCTGCTTTCACTGGATCTACCTTGAGCAGGACCTCCAGAGGTCCCTTTTCCACCAATGCATTTCTCTGGTTGTATGAACAAAACCCAAACAGAATTCAGGAAAGGGACTTTACATTAGACTACGTTCCAGCCCTGGGGGGCTCCTGTCTGGCTGCTACAAATGCAAATCCGTAGCCAACAACAGGCAGCAACTGCCAGGGCAATAACAGAGCAGCTCTTGGCAAGAGAAGCTGCCTTTGTTCACAAGGCAGGTCTGTCTGAGGCTGCTCAGCTAGGTCAGTTTGTGCCAAGCACTGGTGTGATGATGTTAACAGAGCTGCTGACCTCCTATTTTTGCTTGGCTCCTGTAAGACATTAACCAGGCTGGCACTGTGGAAAACGCACGCCAGATCTGCAGCGCTGATGACAACAAGGCACCCATAGTAGCTCTCCAGCCTGCTGCAGACAAAATAAAATGCCTTTCTGCCACTTCTGGACCGTGCTTGGTCAGAGGCAGTGCAAGCCTTTCCAACGAGAACACCACTGGGGAATCCCATGTCTAAGAAACCTGCCATTATAGTCCACAGGCATCATCCAGAGACATCCAAGACCAAGAACTTCTGGTATGTTGCTGCAGCTTCCCATGCTGCACAACTGGCTGTTGTCATCTCAACTCCTGACTGACTGACAGAGGAGTAAAACAACAGCCACCAGCTTCTGTGGAACATGGGCAGCTCCCTTTCCTGCTGCTCAGCAAGAATCTCAATGTTGTTTGTTGCATCGTGTAAGAGGTTCTACACAGACCTTCATGGACATCATCTTCCTTTTGAAGTTTTGCCTCTGTTGGTGATCCTCCTATATGAATCTTC